TTTTCCACATGAGTCGTGTGCCCCCATTATTTTTTTTATTTTTGTTATACTACATTCGAACTAAAATAATAAATACCAATAAAAAAACCGACAACTGAAGAATAACGTTCTTTTATTCAAGAGGGATGATTTTGAGCATCCAACCACAATTGCAACCTATGCTAGCACCGTTTATCCCAATCCTCAACTGAAGTAGTTCGATTACTGAACCACATACTATGAATAGGCGGTAATGGACAATTAGGTGTCAAATCTACACAAATGTAGTGTTCGTATGAACCAAGATGACACAGCGCAATCTCACATCGTGGTCCTGTAGCCGTTGATGCTACAGCAAGCGGCAATACTGTCAAACTGAACTGGTTGCACATACGACCATTGGGACCAAAGCCTAACAAAACGAAAACCACATTAAATAGGATTGCAACAGGGTAGAGGTCGTTTGGAGTTTCCATCCAGTGACCCTGGACACAAGGGCCCCCGTCCCACCTGATTCGACTGAGTGCGGTGTCGATATCCCTGAAATAGATGAACTCGTACAAGGCACGGTGGCTGTAAATCTCATTGGCAATGTTCTCTCGTACAAGTTGCCACATCTCCTAGTCCCCGTAAATGTAACTGGCGATGACCCAAAATCCGCAGTTTCCATCCGCCTTCACATTCAAGTAGCTCACTACGCAGTCCATCATAAGCCAGGGAATACTTTGCCAGTATTCAAAATCAAATATATCTATTTTTGTACCCTCTGGAACATCATAATAATTTCACGTTACAATTTATATAATATAACTTTTATTAACACTTTAATTAACGTTCAGCTGTATAAAAAAAATAAGTCACCTTGTGGTGCCTCTTGTGACGGTTGAGAAGACTGGCTGCTTGTCAGTCGTCGCTAAGAAGTGCTTGTACGGCCCATCGGACGACCTTGCGAATTATCCCTGTACTCCCATCGCGATGGTTTTCGCTTAGTTGAATCAGTTTTCTTGGGACGACCTCGCGAATTTTCCTTAACCTCAGGTTCTGCATAAGCTTGTTGGTCCGGGTAAAGGTGACCGTACATGAGGTGATTCATGTACCGCATCGTCGCAGGATCGCTCGTTTCAACCTCTTTGACAAGCGTCCGAGAAAAATAAACACCTGTCCATGCACCCTGGTTATCCTGGCTCTGGTGATCTGTCCCTACAAGTATACGATACAAATATTCAATGAATTAAACAATGTAATGTATTTTAATTTGTAATTAAAAATTAATCATAAAGTAGAAAATTGTAAATAAAACATTCAACTTAAGTTACCTGGCTTTAACATCTCTAGTGTTCTCCAAGACTCGTGGATCAGGTCCAGACCAATCGCCATTTTAGAATCATATGTCGTACGAAGCAGACATGCACAAGGAATTCCATGTGTGTAGGCAATAAACATCCACAGCGCACCTAAACTTCACTGCTCAAGTCTCGCATCCTCTTCAGTTCATCGTTCAATAAATCCATACAGTAGTGCGAGGCCCTCAGTGTCAAGAACTCGAAAGGGAATCCCGTATATAATGTACTCCTCCTAAGTCTCGAAACCTTAAGAATTTTCCTGGTAATACATTACAAAACATTTTATTATAATTAATGCAGTAATAATATTATTTATTAATTAAATAAAATTATATATATATTTATATATATAATTTTATATACGAAAACCGAAACTGAAACAAAATAACCATAATTCTAATATATGTGAAACAAAATAAAACAGTAAAAAATGAGGAATGTACCTGATTTCAGCCAATTGAGACTCGATCTCCTTATCAATCTTCTGCCACATTGTATGGAGCACGTCGGTAGACGTGTGAAGTCATTGCTTCAATGTAGAGTGTGCACTCTCCACCCTACAGGAAGTTGTGTTGCCAAAATGTGTCACCTGGTTAGTCCAAGCTTTCACAAACTTCTCCTTGTGGACTAACCATGTCTTCTCGACTTATTGTACCACTAGCGAGTCTTTCCCGTATTTTTTATTCAATTGAGCTACGGCAACGTCGTACTCATCCGACGTACTTGCATTCACAATCGACTTCCACCGACCGCGCAAGAAACTCTGAGATAATTTTTTAATTTTTCCAAACAGCTTGTAGTCTTTGTCTTCGACATCCTTGTTGATGTGCCACGTGTAGAGTAAGTGGACAAATTGGGGAAAGTTCCTTCTAATAGGAGTCATTAAGTCCAACTCTCTGTCAATGACAACCGCATTAGGATGTACCTGAGCAGCAGCGGATCCAAAAATATTAATGAGCAGGGCAAAAATTGCTGAAATTTTTTTACCATATTGCACAAAGTACTGTTATTAGTAATTAAATAAATTGTGTAATCCATATAAATATGTTATCCTTACGTGAGAAAGTCTATAAGAAGCCTCAACTTATGGAGCACCCAGTCATAGTTGGCCTCTTTCTCGTCCTTGATGAGTACATACGCAATTACGAAGTTCTTGTTGCACGGCGTCATGCCAACCATCTCGACCAACGACATCTTGTACTTGTACAAATGAGACAAAAAGACAAAATATATAATCACATAAAACTTAATCGAACATACTAATTAAAATTCATAATAATAATGTATTTACAAATTAAAATATATGTTGGTTTTGTACGTGGAATCTATGCCGACATACCAGTAATATGTCCGGAATAGACTCACTGAATCAGGAGGGGCCATGAATATGTGTGTTAGCACATTTTTATCCGGATCGACATCTGTATAAACTATGTAGTTGCTGCTGCTGGCCAAATGTAGAAATTGGGTAGTAACGTCTCTGCTCTCGAAACTTTCCTTGTGCAGCTTCTCTCTATAGTTATATATATGTCGCCAATTAGCGTTGTCTCCCGGATTTTTTTCCTGGATAACGGTCAAAATATTTGCTGGTCTCGCGTGCGCAACAGTCATATCACGAATAATATTTTTTGATGACTGGTTGATGCCGCTCGACTGTCGATGCCCCTCAGGATACATAGCAAATGAATGATTGTGGAAGCCCTTCTTTTCGTCTTGACACGTGTGGATCATCCAGTATGTCGTTCTGGGCACCCGCTTTAATTTTATCTCAAAAGGGCACTGGCACGCTTTCGTTTTCGTACGTCTAGAAGCAACATCTACATTTTTGCCTCTATAACGTTCGCCTCGTTTGCATTTCAAGATCTTCAACCTTCCTCCTTTTGTGTGTTTCGAAATAATCAAATCGAAACCTGCCAGAAGTGTCGTACTTTTTGCATCATTAATCGCGGCCTCATCACTAATAAACAATGTAGTTGTATCGAAAGCTGAACTGTAATCAATACCATCTCCTCCAAAATCTTCCAATGACACCTGCAATATATTACAATAATTATAATTTAAAAAATGTTAAATTAAAATCTATAACATAATAATTTCTAAATTCTACCGCGATAATATCTAACGTCCAACTTATAACATAATAATATCTAACTCCTAATACGATAATTATCTAACGTCCAACTTACAACTTAATAATTTCTAATTCCTATCGCGAACTCCAATTTATAACATAATTATTTCCAATCTACAACATACTAATTTCTAACTACTAGCACGATAATAGCTAACGTACAATTTATAGGATAATCATGTCTAATATATATATATATATATATAACATAATTATTTCTAACTCCTGACATGATAATATCTAACGTCCAATTTATAGATTATCAAGTATATTGTATAACATAATATTTTCTAACTCCTAACACGATAATATCTAACGTCCAATTTATAGATAATCTAGTATATTGTATAACATAATAATTTCTAACTCATAACACGATAATATCTAACGTCTATTTATAACATAATTATTTCTAATCTACAACATACTAATTTCTAACTCCTAATGCGATAATATCTAACGTAAAATTTATAGGATAATCAAGTCTAATATATATATATATATATATATATAACATAATAATTTCTAACTTCTAACATGATAATATCTAACGTCCAATTTATAGATTATCAAGTATATGTATTAAATAATAATTTCTAACTCCTTACACGATAATATCTAACGTCCCATTTATAAGATAATTATTTCGGTTGTACAACATAATAATTTTTAATTCCTAACGTGATAATATCTAACGTCCAATTTATAACATAATAATTTCTAATTCCTAACACGATAATATCTAACGTCCAATTTGTAACATAATTATTTCGATTGTATATCATAATAATTTCTAATTCCTAATAATATATAACGTCCAATTTATAACATAATTATTTTGAGTCTATAATAACATAATAAGTTAATAATATTATTTAATACAAAAAAATAAAAAAAAAAATATTCGTGTCCTGCCGGTCGGACCGGACAGAACGGGTCCAGTCCAGTCGTCGCGGCTGGACACCTCACGAGTCGTATGGCCGGCCGGTTAGTACGCGTACCGGTCCGTACGACTCAATAAACCGGACAGACGAGGTCGTGTGCTGCCGGACCGGCCGGACGCCATTAAGGCCGTCCGGTTTCGATGGTTGGACACGACCGGTCGCGTCCAGTTTCAGAGGTTGGACGGCGAAAAAAAAATTACCTCGGAGCTGGAAGACATTTCGCTCTTCTGAGATTTTAGAACAAATGAAAAAGGCAAAATCGTCCAAAGAGGACGATGACTAGTAATAGGGGCGGTAAATAGTAACACCCATCACACAAACAACATTTTATGTATGGTATTCCTATTCTTGTGGTTTATGTTTTCAAAAAGTTGTCTATATAAGTCACGTCTTTCCACTTCTATTATGTGTCAATTTATCTTTTATTTTTAACCTTAAAATTGAGTATTTTGTAACCACATTTTGGATTTAATTGAATCTATTTGTAATTGTACCATTTTAGCATTTATTAACTTAATTTTAAGCTTTGCTATAGAAGTCAGGAATGGTGAATCAACAAAGATCTCTGACTTTAACTGGGTGCCCAACCTTCACAAACCTAAGCCTGCCTTGATGGAGCTGGCTAGAGAACACCTAGTGTGGGTCAAAGATCTCATGAATGACTCAGGCACTGGTTGGAATTCCTGGTTAGTCAACCAAGTCTTTGATCCTGGGGACAGCTCTGCTATTCTGGCCATCAATACACTCAAACCAAATCACCCTGATAGGCTGTACTGGAAGCTGGACAAGAAGGGCCTTTTCTCTGTTGCCAGCACATATTCTTTCCTCGCACACCAAAAGCTCCTTGCTTTGGACATCCCTAGTAGCAGCTCCTCTCCAGGTACTCTCTGTGTTGGTCTCTCTAGATGCTGGAAAATTAAAGTGGCTGGAAGACTTAAACACTTCATATGGAAATGCATAAATGGTACACTTCCTGTCATGACCAAGTTGTGGAAGAAAGGTCTAGACATTGATGTAATCGACAAAACTTGTGGTTCAGAAGCAGAGACTATTGAACATATACTATTTCAGTGCCCTAAAGCCTGTAGAGTTTGGGATCTAGCTCCTGTCTCTTGGGATTCTTTGAAGCAGCATCCTACTTCCTTCAGAAGATGGTGGTCTGATGTTTGTTCCCTTAACAAGTCTGAGACTTCTGAAGCAAGGATCCAACTAACAACCTACATACTTTGGTGGCTCTGGAAATCCCGGAATTTGTGGCTCTTTCAAAATGTTCAGATTCCAGCACAACAACTAATCAGCATAGCTCACAAAGACTGGTTGGACTTCATGGCAGCAACTTCATCTTAGTTTTCTGTCTTTTCTGTTTTCTTGTAGCTTTGGCTTTGTTTGTCTTTGTTTTGGTTTGTTGCCTGTTAGTTAGGTTTGTTGATGGTACTTAGTTTCCCTAGGCTTTGTTGCAGTGGGGAAGTTCTAAGTTTCATTAGTTTGGTTTTATTTGCTATTGAGGTTCTAGGCCGCTTGCAAGCGTGTCCTCTCAATTTTCGATTTGCTCTAGTCGTGATTTGTACTTGAACATTGTTCTTTTCTTTGAGTAATAGTTATTTCTATCGTTCCGGAAAAAAAAAACTTAATTTTAAGCATATGAAAATTGTTCCAGTAATGTTTTATTTTATACGCATTAGTTCATTGGCCATTAAATTAATTATTTCACATTGGGAAACATTCATGAAAATCAAGGAAAATACTAAATTTAGCATCCAAACGACTGACAATATATCCAGCAGTAAGGGCACCCGCATTGTGGGCGTTCAATGCCCGTTCAAATTAGATTAAATGCCAGCTTGGCATATTTCTTTATTGTGGCATATTCATTAAAGGAAGGGGGGGGGGGGCACTTTAATGTTAAGAGCATCCATAATGCTTTGGGTTCAATCAAAAAAATTGTACGCCACCTATGAACTAGATCTAGTCTAAAAAAAATATCCTCAAATGCAAACAAAAGTAAACTGGGTCCTGCTGATGTGGCAGCCAGAAAAAGAGACTCGGTCTAGCCTTAAGTCTATTTTAGACCCAAGTAGAGACTTAGTCTCTTTGCATTGGAATAGATTTTAAAAAATTTAGATAATTTTATCCATGTCATTAGGGACTTGAGTTTATTTACATGCCACATAGGCAAAACTAGACTCAATGCATTATAGATACTCTAAGTGGTTTGAACGCCGTTCATTCCTTTTTTTTATTCTTTTTTTTTTTTTTTTTTTTTTAAATCTTGTTTTATTTTGTCCATGCGTGACATGCTTTTTCTTTTTTTTTTTTAATTTTGAAATAATTATTTTTTTGTCTTTTTTTGAAGTAATTATTTTTTTTGTCTTTTTTTCTTTTTATATTTTATTAATTTTTACAACAATTAAAAAAAATATATTTTGTAAGTGTACTATTTTTTTCTTGTATAATCTTAATTTAATTTATTTTGGTCTTGTAGTGTTTTTTATTTCCATTCATTTAAAATTTATTGTTATAATATAAAAATATTAAAATTTATTTTTATTGTGAATAGTGTATAAAAAATTATATTGAAAGAGTGGTACCATCTGTAACACCCCGCTATTTACTGAAATCAGAGTACGCTTTTTCGCAAATTTTCTAATTAAAATAAATAAAATATTTTTTTTTTGTGAAAACTGATTCGGAGTGTTACCGTAAAATCTGACTTTTATCTGAAAACCGTTAATTTTAATCTGATAATAAAACGGTTATAAATATATTAACCGACTAGTGTCGGATCAAAAGCTGAGTTAAAGTACTGAAAACTGTAGCGGAATAGTAGTGTAGCCAAAACATATATGCGCAAGTGCGCTTAGCAAGTCTAATGCGCCACTTAGTGCCTAAGCTTGGTTTAAGGCATATTAGCACCAAGGTTGGTTTTCTTCCCAATCAGCACGTGTATTACCATCATTACTAGGACACATGTGAGCTAATGGTAAAATTCAGCATGACTAAGCCAAATGAATGGGGAGTAAGCACCAAAGTGCTACTCTTGTACCCGAAGCATGCGGCACTTGGCATCTAGCCATTGGCCGTGCATTTTTCCTCCAAATTTCACCTTTCTTTACCTGCTATTTGTACGATCAGTTTGGGGGGAAAATTCAGCATGAGATATATATATAATACTTAGCAAATATTAAGGGAGATTAAATACAAACACTCGCACGCACATAGTTTTGCTCGGAGAAGGGAATTCACGCACTTCTCACTACCAACTCTTGAACACTTGGAGAGGTAACTTTCCCTTCATGTTAAAAACATGTTAGTAAGGTCATTTCAAGGTTAATTGTTCGAGTTAGTTTCAGAAATTCTTAAGAAAGTTCATGTTGAACTCGGTTAGGGCATGTTAGTTCTATACCGAGTTAAGTTCAATTTTTTCAGCAAGTCATGAGCATTTTAGTTTCTTCAGCTCTTATTTAAAGTATAGTATTCAGCTGAGAAAGATAGGTCGAGGAAAGTTAGCTTTATGTTCATAAAATGGCTCAAGAAGGTGGGCTGCGCGCTTAGCGCACACCCACGGGCCATTAAGGGCTTTGTGACATTATTTTTCATTATGGTCAAGTTAGTCCGAACAGTTTATGTTTATAAGATCAAGTTAGGTCAATTTATAGTCAGTCAGTTCATGTTGGTCGAGATATTTTTAAGTTTGGTCGAGGAATTGGCCATAGGCCGAAGGTCTCGCATATAGCATGCACCCCACGACCGTTGATGGTTCGTTGTGCAAACGTTCAATGTTTTCATGTGGGTTCAGTATATTGAACTATGAAAAGTCATGTTATGCTAAATTATGTTAAGTTTGTTGGAAGTTTTCACCGAACGATCGGTGAAGGTTGGTAACTACACGCTGCCGCACGCAGCGGCAGCCGTGTATTGGCAGTCAGCCGGCGCAGGCGGGTAGTGTGCGCATGCGCGATAGCGCATTGTGCATAGCCCTGCCTGTGCAACGGTAGTCAGCAGTTATGCGCGTAGGACACCCTGTAAGCCTTGGCAGTGCCCAGTCGGCTACCCGAGTGCCCAGCATCGCAGGGGTCGCGCGGCAGCACCTCGCATGATGCCCGTCATGGGCGTTCAGCGGCCGTGCCTATGCCAGTTCATTCAGCAGTCACGCCACGGCCATGGCAAGGCCGTGGGCCGAGTCAGCCGCCGGCCGATTGGTCCAGGCAGACCGGCGGTCCGGTCAGACCGGTTCAGACCGATTAATACCGATTTGACCTAATTAGTATTATTTTAATCCCGGTTCATGTTTAAGTCCTGTTTTCAGCTAAATTTCGGGTCCAGTTCAATTCAGTAAAATCACGACAGTTCAGTTTCAAATTTAGCCGGTTCCGTTTATACCGGTTAAATCTAAATGTCATGTCACGTTCAGTAGAGCATCTTAACATATTAAAAAATAATTATTTTATCAGGCTGAGCATAGTACTTAGTAATTGTTTATATTATTTTCAGTTTGATCAGGATCCGATATCAGCACTACCATTTTATTCAGACAGTTCAGGTGGGGACTCAGACTAAGTACTACATTGATTATAATTACTCTACCATGTTTGAGGTATGTATATTCAGTATCCGCTCGGAATGGTCGCCGGTCCATTCTGGGTTCTAGTGGCCCTAGTTTGCCCACTAGAGTGTGCACATGGTGTCCGGCCTTGCCGGCAGATGTTCAGGTTCAGTTCAGACGTGACTTATGTCACGAGATCAGTATCAGATTATTCAGACCGGTATCATTTATCAGTTTCAGTTCAGTTCAGTTATATATGCCAGGATCATGATATTGTTATTATTTTCACTGTTTTACTTTAGTATGAGTTTCCACGGGGCACAGTGTGTTAGTGCTCACTTCCCACTTATTTCATGTTTTTCAGGTCACAGGGTCGGGGATGAGGAGTGAGCTGACGAGCTGTTCAGGATATTGTTTTGATATGTATAAATTAACCATGTTTGTCAACGCTACTTTTTCCGCTAAAACTTTCAGTACTTCTAAACAGCTTTTGATCTGACGTTAGTCGGTTAAGATATGGTAACCGTTTTAATTTCAGTTTAGAATTTTCACGGTTTTCAGTCAGATTTTCAAGGTAGCACTCCGAATCAGTTTTCGCAACTAAATATTTTATTAAGCTAATCAGAAAATTTGCAAAAAATGCGTACTCTGATAGTATTAAAATAGCGGGGTGTTACAATTGGTATCAGAGCACGTTTCTGCGTCTCTGAAAAGTTTTATAAGTCAAAAATTTCAGAAAAACCTGAATCGTCACGTTCACTCCTCACCGACTATAGGTAAGTGCTGATTTATGTTTCAGTTATAAACATATTATTATTGTCTATGCTTAGAAATTATTAATCAGAACTCAGTTAAGATGCTCGAATCAGGATCAGACTATAGAACTCAGTGCACTCAAATATAACCCTAGACGACTTTAGAATTTATATCAGTATTCATCGGCTATTTATGGCGACTCGTCAAGAGATTTCTGTGCCTTAGTAATCAGTCAGAATGTTATCATGTATTCAGTAATGTTAAATTTTCCTCAATGTTCAGATGCCGCCACGTGGGGAACCCGATCATCAGGCTCCTACTCAGGCTATAGTAGTCGCTCAGTTCCGCGACTATCACGCCGAAAAGTTCTCAGGGCAGGGAGATCCCCGCATCGTAGATGAATGGATCCAGGGGTTGGAGTTTATCTTTGAGGTTATGGACTGCCCCGATAGATATCGTGTAGTTTGTGCTCAGCTTCAGCTCACTGGTGATGCTAGGCTTTGGTGGAATGCCTACTGGAGCATGCGTCCCGGTGAAAAAGCGGGTTGTACATGGGACATGTTCAAGGATCTAGTCCGCGAAAAGTACTACCCTTCCTACTATCGGGCAGAGATGGAGCGTCAGTTCTTAGCGCTTCAGCAGGGCACTCGTACTGTTGATGAGTATGAGCGAGAGTTCACTAGACTTGCAGCTTTCGTACCGGATCTGGTTCGCACGGAGGCTCAGAGAGCGCAGCGGTTCATCGACGGGCTCTTCCCAGCAGTCCGTCACAACATCGTGGGACACGGGACTCAGACCTACGCTCGTGCAGTTTCTATCGCCCAGGAGGTGGACGCTAGCATCAGGAGGGAGGCAGTTTGTGATCGTGCCCAGCCATCTGCTCCAGTTCAGCCATTCACAGCTCCACCAGCTCTACCAGCTCCTCAGCCGGCAAAGGAGAAGAAGAGAAAGGGGAAGGGTGCACAGACTGACCGGGCAGAGACAGCAGCCGATTTCACCATGCCCGACATGCGGACGACTTCACAGGGGAGAGTGCCGTGTGGGAGAGGACATCTGCTATTACTGCCACGAGCCGGGACATTTTGCGAGTCGCTGTTCGAAGAAACTCCAGCAGCAGCCCCAGCAGCCTCAACAGCCACCACAGCAGCAGTAGCCACGTCAGCAGGCACAGAGGCCGCCTCAGAAGCAGCAGCAGAGGGGCAGACAGTAGGCCCGAGTCTACGCGGTGGATCAGGCAGAGGCAGCACAGTAGCCAGGTACTATGTCAGGGATGGTTGTTCTCAATGATATTCTTGTGTTTGCTTTATTCGATACTGGAGCGACACATACTTTCATATCACGACGATGCCTCGATGCCATCGGAGTTCATGCCGTTACCGCTGTCGATCCTCTCGAGGTGAGTTTAGCCTCGGGACGAAAGATAGTGACCTCAGCTAAAGCCTCAGATCTTAGCCTTTCCATCGGTGGCCGAGTATTGACTGCCGACGCGTTTGTTCTCGAGATGAGGGATTTCGACCTTATTCTCGGAATGGATTGGCTATCCTTCTTTCATGCTGATATCAGATGTCATGACCGGGAGATCACTCTTTATCTTCTGGGAGACGAATCCATCACTTTCTTCGGTTCCAGGAATCGTTCACTGCCTCATGTTGTTTCGATGGCGAAAGCCACTAAGCTATTGCGACGAGGCAACTGCCAGGGTTATCTGGTGAGCCTTGTCGACGAGTCTCAGAAAGCGCGAACACCTCATGATGTTCCAATCGTTCGCGAGTTTGTGGACGTATTTCCAAATTAACTTCCAGGAGGACCGCCTAACCTACAGGTGGAGTTCTCTATCGATCTCATTCCAGGGGCCAGTCAGTATCTAAAGCCCCATACCGTATGGCGCCTAAGGAGTTGCAGGAGCTTAAAACTCAGATTCAGGAGCTGTTACAACTCGGTTTCATCCGACCGAGCGTGTCACCTTGGGGAGCACCCGTTCTCTTTGTCAAGAAGAAGGATGGATCCATGCGCATGTGTATCGACTACCGGGATCTTAACCGGTTGACGATCAAAAACAAGTACCCGCTTCCCAGGATCGATGACTTATTTGATCAGTTGAGCGGAGCCTGTGTGTTCTCAAAGATTGATTTGCGATCAGGCTACCACCAGCTGAAGATTAAGGAATCAGATATCGCTAAGACCGCTTTCAGGACTCGTTACGGCCATTACGAGTTCGTCGTCATGCCTTTCGGTCTCAGCAATGCGCCAGCTGTTTTCATGGACCTCATGAACCGTATCTTCCATCCCTACCTCGATCAGTTTGTTATTGTCTTTATTGAAGATAATCTTATTTATTCAAAGAGCCAGAAGGAGCATGAAGAGCATCTGAGGGTGGTTCTCGAAACCCTCAGACGAGAAAAGTTGTATGCAAAATTCTCCAAGTGTGAGTTCTGGCTCCAGCGAGTATCCTTTCTGGGTCATGTGATTACTCAGGCAGGCATCGAGGTGGATCCTTCCAAGGTCTCAGCCGTTCAGAACTGGTCAACACCGAGGAGTCCGTCCGAGGTTCGCAGTTTTCTCGGTTTAGCTGGTTACTATCGCAGGTTTATCGAGGGCTTTTCCAAGATCGCCCTCCCTCTTTCCCAGTTGACGAGGAAGTCTGTGAAGTTCGAGTGGACTGATCGTTGTGAAGCGAGCTTTCAGGAGCTCAAGAGGAGGTTAACTTCAGCACCGGTGTTGACTATTCCCGATCCTTCTCGGAGTTTCACTATCTTCAGCGATGCTTCGAGACAGGGCTTGGGATGTGTCCTTATGCAGGACGGCCAGGTCGTCGCGTATGCTTCACGTCAGCTTAAACCTCATGAGCAGAACTATCCGACGCACGACTTGGAGTTAGCAGCAGTCGTTCATGCTCTCAAGTTCATGTATTATCAGTTATGTTTTGAATTTCCGAGGACGGAAATTTTGTAAGGAGGGAGGATTGTAATATCCCTTCAGTTTATGAATTATGTTTTAAGTTCCGATATAATAACGTTATCGATTGTTATTTTCAGAATTAATCATTTTCAGTCAAGATTACCGAAATTTATTTCCGACGTAAAATTTACGTTCGGAATAATTTTGGTAATTAAGTACTATGTTAATCCGGTAAGTAAACAAGGTTCAGTGCGGACGTGCTTAGCTTATGCGCAAGTGCGCTTAGCAAGTCTAATGCGCCACTTAGTGCCTAAGCTTGGTTTAAGGCATATTAGCACCAAGGTTGGTTTTCATCCCAATCAGCACGTGTGTTACCATCATTACTAGGACACATGTGCGCTAATGGTAAAATTCAGCATGACTAAGCCAAATGAATGGGGAGTACCAAAGTGCTACTCTTGTACCCGAAGCATGCGGCACTTGGCATCTAGCCATTGGCCGTGCATTTTTCCTCCAAATTTCACCTTTCTTTACCTGCTATTTGTACGATCAGTTTGGGGGGAAAATTCAGCATGAGATATATATATAATACTTAGCAAATATTAAGGGAGATTAAATAGAAACACTCGCACGCACATAGTTTTGCTCGGAGAAGGGAATTCACGCACTTCTCACTACCAACTCTTGAACAATTGGAGAGGTAACTTTCCCTTCATGTTAAAAACATGTTAGTAAGGTCATTTCAAGGTTAATTGTTCGAGTTAGTTTCAGAAATTCTTAAGAAAGTTCATGTTGAACTCGGTTAGGGCATGTTAGTTCTATACCGAGTTAAGTTCAATTTTTTCAGCAAGTCATGAGCATTTTTAGTTTCTTCAGCTCTTATTTAAAGTATAGTATTCAGCTGAGAAAGATAGGTTGAGGAAAGTTAGCTTTATGTTCATAAAATGGCTCAAGAAGGTGGGCTGCGCGCTTAGCGCACACCCACGGGCCATTAAGGGCTTTGTGACATTGTTTTTCATTATGGTCAAGTTAGTCCGAACAGTTTATGTTTATAAGATCAAGTTAGGTCAATTTATGGTCAGTAAGTTCATGTTGGTCGAGATATTTTTAAGTTTGGTCGAGGAATTGGCCATAGGCCGAAGGTCTCGCATATAGCATGCACCCCACGGCCGTTGATGGTTCGTTGTGCAAACGTTCAATGTTTTCATGTGGGTTCAGTATATTGAACTATGGGAAGTCATATTATGCTAAATTATGTTAAGTTTGTTGGAAGTTTTCACCGAACGATCGGTGAAGGTTGGTAACTACACGCTGCCGCACGCAGCGGCAGCCGTGTATTGGCAGTCAGCCGGCGCAGGCAGGTAGTGTGCGCATGCGCGGTAGCGCATTGTGCATAGCCCTGCCTGTGCAACGGCAGTCAGCAGTTATGCGCGTAAGACACCCTGTAAGCCTTGGCAGTGCCCAGCGGCTACCCGAGTGCCCAGCATCGCAGGGGTCGCGCGACAGCACCTCGCATGATGCCCATCATGGTCGTTCAGCGGCCGTGCCTATGCCAGTTCATTCAGCAGTCACGCCACGGCCATGGCAAGGCCGTGGGCCGAGTCAGCCGCCGGCCGATCGGTCCAAGACGACCGGCGGTCCGGTCAGACCGGTTCAGACCGATTAATACCGGTTTGACCTAATTAGTATTATTTTAATCCCGGTTCATGTTTAAGTCCTGTTTTCAGCTAAATTCCGGGTCCAGTTCAATTCAGTAAAATCACGACAGTTCAGTTTCAAATTTTGCCGGTTCCGGTTATACCGGTTTAATCTAAATGTCATGTCACGTTCAGTAGAGCATCTTAACATATTAAAAAATAATTATTTTATCAGGATGAGCATAGTATTTAGTAATTGTTTATATTATTTTCAGTTTGATCAGGATCCGATATCAGCACTACCATTTTATTCAGACAGTTCAGGTGGGGACTCAGACTAAGTACTACATTGATTATAATTACTCTACCATGTTTGAGGTATGTATATTCAATATCCGCTCGGAATGGTCGTCGGTCCATTCTGGGTTCTAGTGGCCCTAGTCTGCCCACTAGAGTGTGCTCATGGTGTCCGGCCTTGCCGGCAGATGTTCAGGTTCAGTTCAGACGTGACTTATGTCACGAGATCAGTATCAGATTATTCAGACCGATATCAGTTATCAGTATCAGTTCAGTTCAGTTATATATGCCAGGATCATGATATTGTTATTATTCTCACTGTTTTACTTTAGTATGAGTTTCCACGGGGCACAGTGTGTTAGTGCTCACTTCCCACTTATTTCATGTTTTTCAGGTCACAGGGTCGGGGATGAGGAGTGAGCTGACGAGCTGTTCAGGATATTGTTTTGATATGTATAAATTAACTATGTTTGTCCACGCTACTTTTTCCGCTAAAACTTTCAGTACTTCTAAACAGCTTTTGATCCGACGTTAGTCGGTTAAGATATGGTAACCGTTTTAATTTCAGTTTAGAATTTTCACGGTTTTCAGTCAGATTTTCAAGGTAGCACTCCGAATCAGTTTTCGCAACTAAATATTTTATTAAGCTAATCAGAAAATTTGCGAAAAATGCGTACTCTGATAGTATTAAAATAGTGGGGTGTTACAAAAACAGTGAAAATAATAACAATATCATGATCCTGGCACATATAACTGAACTGAAACTGAAACTGATAACTGATATCTGATACCGGTACTGAATAATCTGATACTGATCTCGTGACATACGTCACCTGTCTGAAACTGAACATCTGCCGGCGTAGCCGGACACCATGTGCACACTCTAGTGGGCAGATTAAGGCCACTAGAACCCAGAATGGACCGGCAACCATTCCGAGCGGATACTGATAATACATACCTCAAACATGGTAGCGTAATTATAATCAATGTAGTACTTAGTCTGAGTCCCCACCTGATTGTTAGAGGTATGCTGTAAAAGCTGTGTTTTGCAGTTTCTATCAATTCCATT